GAGACAGGGAGAGGAAAAAATTACTAGAAACCATAATGTTGATCTCTTACACCATTTACTTTTGAAAATCTTTTCCCCCCCTCGAATTTTCTTCCCTTCTCTATTGAAAATGGCTGACTCATGCTGGTGTAGAGTTTCACAGCACCCACAGTTTTTACTGTGCACCTCCCAATGGAGAGCAGTGAGAGTCACTCATAGTTGAGCATCTACTTGGCTACGAGGATGGAGTATCATCCAATCCAATCCTGGCTCAGCCAGCATTCAGACACCTGCATTTTTCAGCAGAGATCACAACAAAGATAGCAGCTAGGAGGTGGAATCAATGCTGATTTTATCCCTATCCGTAACCCAAGGTTTTCAAGGGCAATACCAGCAACTAACTGCTGCCTCAACTGAGATCAGCCAACTCAGCATGGATCAGAGACTAAAATTGTACTGGTACTTGAAATATAATCAAGATAGCTGACGCAGGAGACTTAGTACTGAAAGGCTGTTAACCAGTGTCAGAATCTAATTTTCAAATTGATTAATGATTATTGTGCTAACTAAAGATCCAGGGGTTATGTATGAAATGAAACCTCTGATTAATCGTTAATCTCAGTGCAACATTCTTCAGTTAACCCACAAGAAGGCCTTCCATAACAAACAGCTTCTTGTGCAGCAGAACAGGCCACAATAACATGTAACTGAATGTAATCAGCTGGTGGCAAAGAGGGTCATGAATTAATAGTAAGTTGTCCTACCTATTCTTATAGCCTTGATGAAAAAGACTGGAAGAACTAATACGGTTTCTAATCTTTCTGAATCTGTTCTCCTTCTGCAACTTGCACACAGCAATGTCTCACAAACCTTTATATAGGAGTGTGATTGATCTCCATTTCTTGATAAAGTGTACTAACCTTTGCAGGTGTGTCCCTGCAGTGGAATAAGTAGAGAATAGTAAGGAATTGTTGCCAAAGGTTGTTACCAACAAGGCAAGGAATAATCCCCATGGAGTTTGTTTCATAACTCAAGTTCATCTGGCTGACTGGAGCTACTCCATTACAATGCTGGTACCGAACCAGAGGTAAATGTTTGTATTTAATTGTTGTGCCTGCATTGAGTTTGACTGTGGTGGGACAATACTATCTGCCAACACTTCAGTGTATCTAAAAGCAAGGATTCAAAAGTATTTCTGAATGCTGAGTCATGCCCTACCCTAGAAGAGAAGGAACTTTGACTTAAGAGTCAGCTTTCAGTTAAGAAGTCAACAAGTTTGTACAGTGATTGTACAAGATATTAGTGTGAGCACCAGCTCCCTTCATTCCTTTCATTGTACATCAATGTGCTACGTAACCTGGATTCAGCTATGCAAATTCCACATGAGAATGAATCCATACTTAAGTAGTACATTCACCACCAGTGCATACAATTTTAATCCAAGTTTAATGTCATTGTGCGTGAATGAGTTGCAAGTAACAGTCTTTGCCAAGTGTTAAGACTGTCACTCCGCCCATTCCAGTCGATCACAACTTTCAATTAACTTACTGTTGAACAGAACAAGATCAGAGGGAACAAATGATAAATTGGGTACATGTTTCAACAGGATGCAAGCAAGACATGTACGACATGAAAGCAGAGTGCTAGGTTCTAGGGTGAAGTTACTTTAGTTTTTAAAAGGAAATTGGACAAATATCTTTTAAAAAAAAGAAAAATACAAAATGGTATGGGAAAGGAAAGGGCAGGGAAGTGGGACTAACTGGACAGCTGTTTCAGACGAGCAAAGGCACAATGTGGCTTGAACCCACGACCTTCTGACTCGGAGGCAAGAGTACTATTAACTGTCGAGTGTAGTCTAGGCTGACACTCCAATGTACTAGTGATAGGGTGCTGCATGTGGAAGGTGCCAACCTTTGGATGAGACGTTAAACTAAGGTCCTATCTACCTGTTCAGATGGATGTTAAAGATCCCATGGGACTATTTGAAAAAGAGAAAGAAGTTTCTCCCAATACCCTGGCAAACAATCCTTAATTAAATTGGTCATTCACTTCATGGCTGTCTGTGGGACATTGCTGTGCACAAATTATAGTTGCCATGTTCACCTATAAAATGCACAGTCATCACACTTTACAGTAAATCCTCTGAAAGGTCCTCCCAATGTGAAAGGTGCTATATCAAATACAAGGATTATTATTATTACAATAAAGGTGAATGCAATTTCATATTCAGGACCCAGTTTCCTCCAATGACTCGGTTGGTAAAGTGATTACTTTGTGTGAAACTGAACCATACAGACCTGGGGTGTCTAAAGTACAATCAAGCTGATTCCAGTTTGGTAAAAATAAGGTAATTGGTCTCAGCACTTTTGGATTGGGGAGAGGGAAATCAGACAGGGGTGTATGGGATATACATTGTTAGGTGTTGGGATTGCCCCACCTACGAGTGTCCTATATTCAAAGCAGTTTGCTGCAAGTGCCTCTCTTCTGAAAGTACCTGTGTGTGTATGTTGGATGAGTATATCATCTAGTTCAGCTGCAATACCCTCTATTGCTGATATTTCTTTGTGTTCAGGCTCACGTATAATGAATATGGGAGACCTGTCATCTGTGCAATGGAAACATTTCCCAGGATACTTTCAAGAACATGCTTTTTTGGCGGAGGTGGGGGTGGGCAGAGAAGGTCTAACTGCCTAATGTCACAACGAATATCAGGTATTTGTTGAAATAAAACATATTTGATGACATTTTGTGACACGCTGATAAGTCAGTGCTCAGTAATGTGGAAAAGCAGTCAAAAACATAATTTGTGAGGAAACTATTACCATAATTGTGCAGAAAATTAAATGAAGCAAATACATTTATCAAGTGAATTTATGGTTAGGGTCATGCACTGTTGTGATCAGTTTTGGTATTTGTGCTTTGCAATAACATGTACAATGAAGCTGTTAATCAATCACATTTGTGGGGTAGATAACATATACACCACAGGGGTGTGTGGCGTACACATTGGGATGGGTGCAGGCCCAACCTGCAAGGGTCTGATATTCAAAGTGTTTTTATTCCTCTTTCTGTGGAATGGTTTCATGGGAGTCGTGCATACTTACATTTGGTGTAGTGCTTTTCACGTTGGATGTCTCAAAGCGCTTCACGGTATATACTATAAAGTGTAGTGACCGTGTACCCTTTAGGTGAACGCAGCAGCCAATTTGCGTACAGCAATGTCCCACACACAGTCATGGAAAGAATCACCAATTTTATTTGGTCCTACAGTACTTTACTCATCCAGTGCTTCGCTCACGTTGTCCACGCGAGATGTGTGAGCTTTGACAGACTATTCAACATCGGATATCATTGCATTCAAGCCTTATGCTATGCAGGAGGGATCACTGGATAATGATCAATTGTGGGAATCCTGGATGACTTTCTCCTCCCTATCCCAATCGTGAGTGAGGCCAAGTGTATGTAACACCTCCATTGTTGCTCCAGCTAACATCATCAAACTCAGCCAAGATCAGAATTTGAATCTGAAATCCTCCAGATCCATAGGGCTCAGTTTCATATTAAGCTGCAGCTTTATTAATAGAACCAATGAGGAAGCCTTTCAGTCACATTTAAAGCAGGGGTTAGGGAAATCATTTAAGATTGGTTCCAAGACACACAAATACCGAGGAAAATCAAGTATGATGGAAATTATTCAGGAAAAAATTCATCTTTCAATCACTTCTATTTGAAATGCTTCTAAAATGGTTCACATGAAGACAAACCTTATTTACGAGAGGTTAGACTTCACTGTACATTACCTGCCGTTGGTGGTCAAGCAGTCCAGAAAATCTTTGGCTACCATTCAACTCTATTCTAAGCCATTGGGACAGATTAACCTTCTCTATGTGCAGTTGAGAAACACAGGCAGCTGTGGAGCACGCCTAAACAAATACATGAATTTAAATGGAATTTTGGTATTTGTGCTTTGCAATAACATGAGATCAGCTGCCTAACATGATTTCATTCTTGCCTTATAATAATAATCCTTGCATTTGATACAGCTTCTAATCACGTCATTGAGGCATCTCAAAGGAATTCACAGCATATACTGTAAAGTGAATTGACTGTATATTTTGTGGGCGAAACACAGCAGCCAATTGTGAACAGCAGTGTCCCAGTCATGGATTGAGTGAACATATTTATTTTATATTTTTTGAAGGGATTATCACCCCCAGAAAGCAGCTAACAATCAAACTCTAACTTGCTGCTACTTAAACAGAGGTGTGCGGAATAAGGAAACTTGCCCAAGGTTTTGCACTGCTCAGGAACTGAACCCGGTTCCTCTCAAGGTCCACACACCTCTGTTTACCTACACACTTCAATGTAGAGACCCTGAAGCATTAACACAAGACTTGATGTCAGGGGTCAGTAAATCCTAGAGTCCCATGTGACGAGAGTTCCGGGGAGTTGGCTATATTATAGCCAGCGTATGCTCATTACTAATCCTTTTTCTAATCTCACTTTTTAAAATGCATCTATGCATTCTACACCTTTGTGTTAACGGGAATAATATCAAAAGATTTCACAAATCCCAACCTCAAATTTTACAGAATAGCTAAAAAAAAAAGGCTGTTATACTCAACTACAATAGTTGGCATTCTATATATCAAGGTGAGCCCATGAGTTATGTTCAAAAGTCTGCCAGTGTTGCACACCAAGCACCACAGGAAACCTGTGCAGGGCAATTCTGTGCAGGTTTCCTGTGCAGGGCAATTCTGTTTGCACTATTGCTCAGTGAAATTAAAACAACTAGAAAGATCAAGGGGATTTTGTTTTCATTCAACTAACAGCTTCTTTAGAAACCCTCAAGTGTTCAGCCTGGATTTCCCTTTGCTGAAAATTCCTGCAGTGCATTTCTGTCAGGCTGATAATCGACAACTGGACCAACAGCAGAAAGTAAAAGATTGTTTTATGTTAATACTTGACGTTTGCAATGGATACGTAATGGTGCAATTTTTAAAAAAGAGAATACACAAAGGTTGACACGAACCAGTTTTATTTAAATTACATTTTGTAAAAAGTTTTGTATAAAACCATTGGCTTTTTCAGTTTCCTCATGTTACAAAACAGTTTGATTCCCGCTCCTCGACATTATCAGCACTTACTGAAAGTTTTAAAAAGTTAAGGCAAACGTACACAAGCTGATGAAATGCTTCAGCCTTTGCTTTTCTTCTAATAGTATGTTTCCTGCTCCACCCAACCTGGTGAGAAAACGGAAAAAAATGAAACCACTGGCTTTTGTTAAAAAAGTGACACACACAGAAACCTATCACCATTCTTAAATAAATCCAAACAAACAAGAGTTCCTCTTGTGCATGGAAATCTTCATTCAACAGATTGTTCAATCTCTGCCCACAGAGGGAACGCACCCTGCTCACCTAATCCTGGTTAGTATTAATAATAATCCTTGCATTTGATATAGTGCCTTATGACGTCTTCAAGATGTCTCAAAGTGCTTCACAGAATACACTGTAAAGTGAATTGACTATTTTGTGGGCAAGTATTATCAGGAGCTGAGGCTTTGGTGTATCTATGGGTACTGCTGGAGTTTAGCCAGCTAGAACGTCACAGCTCACTGTTGTGAACACAATCTTGGCAAGCTTCCTGTTGCATTTCTAGTACCCTAGCTGATTAGTTCTAATCCACCATCTTCTTCAATGTACAAAAATAAGGTAAACAAATGCTGCTCCAGCAAATCAACATCGGAGCGTTGAGGTCAAGCTGCAAGAAGCATTCACAACCCACAGGTTCACACAGAACAAACACTGCAACCTGGATTGGTCAGGGACATTCCAAATGTAGCATTAAGGTGGAAGCTAGCCATTAGGATCAGTCAATAAATTAGCCAAGTTTGCCCTCATTAGTGAAAAATGTCCTTTTTTATGAGTTTGGATATTTGGTTGAATTTCAAATGTGAAAAGAAATGACTCGAATTGAACTCAAAAGAAATGGCTTGAAACAAACGCCCTTTAGGAGCACATGACGAGCTCAAACCTACCTCCTGGACTCCTACGAATGATGAGTTTTCTGATTTCATCATAAACAAAGATGAGAAGACTGTATGGGAAGGCACAAAACCACCAGTTGGGTCTGAATGGAAGCAAATGAGAGAATGAATTATAGATTAAACAAATAAGTTATAAACACATGACTGAATAATAATATTTGCATTTGATATAGCACCTTATCACATCATTGAGATGTCTCAAATCACTTCACAGGTTAAGAACAAAATTACATTTGTATAGCGCCTTTCACGTCAGGAGGACGTTCCAAGGCGCTGGACAGTCAGTGTTTCGTGAATAACATGTGAAGCTAGAACCAGCAACAACTGGAGACTACACGACTGCCGATAACCCACCTGAAGATGGGAAAAGGAGGGCGACTTACTTTAGTGGGTACATCCTGAGAGCGACGTCCATCCCAGGGCAATAGGAGAGGAAGGCGGCCAAGGCAGTCTCTTCAAACAAGCCAAAAATGAGAATACGGTTCCTTGAGAGGAGGGGACACAAAGTGGTAAGAGGGAGGCATGCAAGAAGGCAAAAGATAAAGACACCTGACTAGCTATATGAAAGAAGTTCAAACTTTAACACACAGGGCACAACAGGATTTCTAACACTCTGGTTTGTTTGTTTTCCTCTCTGGACGAAGGGAGCAGCAGAAGAAATTTTAATTCTTAACTACTGAGAAAGTTAAGAATTAAAATTTCTTAACCATCTCAGTGGTTAAGAATTAAAATTTACCATCTAAGTTGTTCAGCCTTTGACTTTTCCTCATTCACTACAATAAAATCTTTCAGTGGATGGAATACTTACTTCATGCCCTGTTGGAAAATGGAGTTTCTTCTGGTTTTACAGATCATTAAATCAGCCCACTGCACCACCACGATGCTGACAAAGAATGAGGTATGGCATGTATATTCAACAATTTTACGCTGTTCGTAAGTCTGGAAAAGGCAAAAAAAAATAGCAATTAGGGGAGGGCGGAAAAGAAAACAAAACTTTAAAAACAAAATGGAATAGCAGAGAGGTACAAGGCGTTCAAAGTTATTTTTAATTTTAAAAATGTTCCGTTAGCTCTGAAAGGAAGTTTTTTTTTTCCATTTGATTTTAATGAGTCATATTTAGAGTAAACTCAGACAGCGCTGTAAATTTCCACTTACTGGAGGGAGTGGGGAGGAAAAGGAAAACGAGAAGTACATATTCAGTCAAGGAGTAAATATTCAGCTCTGATAGGCTGAAAAAGCAACTCCAACATTCAGAGTGTGATTGCATTGCCCATTTGTTTCAGATCCAGCCAGATTCTCTCTCTGTAGAGCTTCCTCTCCACCCCTACTTCTCCCATTCTGTATAAACTCCTCGCTGGACTGAAAGCACACTTTCTAATCCTTTTACATAACTCTCTACGGTTGAAGTTCAAACACGTTTTTAAGGAAAGTTAAACAGTCCTCTTCTTCCTCCTAACTTCTAAAGCAAAACCTCATTATTAATGGACTGATGCCAAACAAAACAAGCTAATCTAAAATCTCCAGGTCACATTTTTTCTGCACTAAAGTTACAGCACAGCAGATTTTTGTATTTACTTATAGTAGAGAACAGCTCCAGCCTCAGCTTCCCACCTCTCCCCACCCCATACCTTTCTAGGTGTCAACACACTGAAGGAAAAGGGGTTCACACTTACCCACTGTTGTCCATAACTGTCTTCTACGTCATTTAACCACCGGTTATCCCATTTTACACGGATATTCAGGAGATCCCATGGCAAAAACCCGTTCTCAGCCAAGATCACAAAGTATGTGAAGAAGCCACCCAGAGCCTGGATCATACCTGAGACAAAGCAAATTCCATCAATCTCCCTCTTAAGGCTCTCTTCTCCAACACTGCTTTAAACACTGAAATTGCTGCAACTGCACTAGTCACCCTCAGCCGCCAGTCAGTCCCACTCCACTGGTGGTGATGGTCCATTCTGAGCTTACACACAGAACATTGGACAACCTCAAATAGGCAACTTGTTCAAATGATCTTCAGGATAGTTCTTGTACAATCACCACTTATTAAATAATGGTAACGAATGGGGCAGGGGAGAAACAGTTGAAAAAAACAGCTACTCAATATTCACACTGGGCACCCTCCTGGCCTCTGCTACTGTTACTTTGAAAGTGTCCGTTTGGAGAAAAAAAATGGTCAGAGGTCCCATGTCTGTAGAGCCCACTCGTGCCTACGCTGAGATTAACTAACTCAGACAGGCCAGTGAACTGAATCTAGGATTTTTATGATCAGCATAATGCACGCAGTACATTTACCATCACAGACTAAGGTTTAAAATTGAACATTCAAAGTAGCTATCAAAAAAGCAAATTTTAAAGTCATTATATAACACTTATTTTATTTGGAAAGGTTGTTACTATAAGTACAACAACTTGGATTTATATAGCGTCCTCCACGCCGGACGGCGTCTCAGAGCGCTTTACAGTGGAGTCCTGTAGTTCAGTGGTTAGAGCACTCGCTTTACAAGTGAGAGATCTGAGTTCAATTCCCGGCAGGGCGAAACCTTGGGCAAGTTTCCTTACTCCACACGCCTAATAATAATCCCTCCAAAAAAAAAACAATAATAAATTGGTCATTTTCAATCCATGACTGTTTGTGGGACATTGCTGTGCGTAATTGGCTGCCGCGTTCGCCCACAAATATACAGTCAATTCACTTTACAGTATATTCTGTGAAGCGTTTTGGGACGTCTAGAAGACGTGAAAAGCGCTATATCAAATGCAAGGATTATTATTATTATTAGTTTAGGATCCTGGGGACCGAGCCAGGGGGAGGGGTGGGAAGGTGACCGAAGGTGCGGACGAAAAGAAAAGTCTTCAGTAGAGAGTAACCCCTAGGGAGTTTCTACCATTACTCACCAATCTGTCCATAAGCCATGCTGATCAGTCTCTCATTTACCAGCTTATCTGTTTTGGGGTTACGTGGCTGTCTCTTCATAATGTCACTTTCAGCTTGTTCATAGGCAAGGGAGATAGCTGGGAGCTGCAAAACACAGCAAGCATTGTTAGAACACAAATCATTAGATCTCAAATCAATACCCTTCTCACTGGAATACATAGCAAGCTGAATCCTGACCTTACTACACTTTCCATTTTAACATTTAACAGCAACAACACAAAAGAATTTCTAAATTTGACTATTAAGGACAATTTGAGCTCAGCATGCTCATTGGTTGAACAGCATTAGAGTTCTAATCAGTGACACAAATGAGTACAGTTACCCATCTTGGTCACTTAAGTTTTTCCTGAATGGCAAAAAAGTGAATGACCCTCACGCAGGACTGGGACCGGAGATGAAACCCCATGCCAATAATAATAATAATCTTTGCATCACGTCTTCTAGATGTCTCAAAATGCTTCACAGAATATACTGTAAAGTGAATTGACTGTACGTTTGTGGGCGAAACGCAGCAGCCAATTGAGCACAGTAGTGTCCCACAAACCGTGATGGATTAAGGATATTTTTTTTTTGAAAGGTTTATTACCCCGAAAGAGTGATCTGCCAATCGACTAATAACCGGGCTCCTACTTACTACTAGGTAAACAGTAAGGAAACATGCCTAATGTTTTGCCTTGCCAGGTATCAAACCCAGATCTTCTCACTTGAAAAGCGATTGCTCTAACCACTACAGGATTCCAATGGAGGGGGATAGAAGACACTAGTTAATTGATCACACCCACAGATCTCCTAGCATTGGTCAACAGCAACGTTTTGTACTCATGAAGCAGATCTACTCAATTGTACAAAACATAGGGAGAAAGAGACGCATCTATGCAATGGGGGTGAGAGGAAAGGGAATCACGCTTGAGAAGAGATTTAGTTAGTGAACTGCAATAATCATTGCAGTAAAATACCAGCAGCCATGCATCACACACTCACCATGTCAGTGCCCAAATCAATACAGAGGATGGTGACTGTTCCGAGTGGCAGGGGGATGTTGGCAATGATGAAAATCAAAAAGGGTGTGATTTCAGGAATATTACTGGTTAAGGTGTAGGCGATGGATTTCTTCAGGTTATCAAAGATCAGACGACCTGTAAAGAGATCAAAATCACATTTACAGAAACAGTTTGGACTAAACATTCATATTCGGCAATGAACATTTTGTTAGAACTTTCAATAAGACTCTAACGCAGATTGTGATTCCATACATACAAACATCATTGCTCAGCTCACGTTAAAAAACATATACATTCAAACATAATGCAAATTCTATTCTGGTACCAGCTCAGGGTGCCTATTGACAGTGGAGGTGCCTGTAGACCTTCTCCAGTACACCACCAGGGCAACTATTCTTCACAAGGTCCTAGACAGTGAACATCAGTGTGTTAAATAGGAAATGAGGGCTTCAGAGCTAAATCCAATCTAATCCTCAACAACACCTACAATATGTATGGAAGGAGGGCACACTAGGCAGTGAGGGACAAAATCCTGGGTGAATTCCCAACCTAAGAGACTAGATGCCAAATGCTCAAATGTCACACATAGATTATGTCAGCTATCATGCAGAAAGGTAGTGGAATAAGAGGCTTGCTTCACCAGTACAATGATCTTCTGAGGTTGAACGGCCACGATGGAAAATATGAAATGGGCATCAGGCCAAGCCTGATCCTCACCTTCTTCCACACCAGTAACAATAGAAGCAAAGTTATCATCCAGTAGGATCATATCGGCAGCCTGCTTAGACACATCAGAGCCAGCAATACCCATAGCAACTCCAATATCAGCTTTCTTCAGAGCAGGAGAGTCATTCACACCATCACCAGTCACAGCAACAATGGCTCCCTGTGACAAAATCAAAACCAAAACATTACCAGGTCTGCAGTGGTTACCAGGACAGTAATGGATACAAATCACCCAAAATTCTTCCAATCCCAGCACAACACCAACTCATACCACCATTAGCTCATTACATGATTCAGTAGTTCACACTAATTTCGAAGGTAAAGGACATGTTTCAGCAGACCAAACATGCCAAGTCTTCTCAATTCCCCAATGCATTATCAACTCTAAAACCTTATGGATAAATGGAACCTGTTCAAATATTTCTCCACAATGCACACCGCTGTGCAAACATTTGGTATAGTATTGCATGTTTACGTTAGCTCTATCTGCTTGTAGGAGAGCAATTACCAGTTGGACCTGCAGTTCAAAATGATAATATACATTTCTATTTAACAAAACCAATGTAATTTTAGTACAAAGGCTAAATCACATCTTAGTGCATCAAGATCCATAAACTGTTGTTCATTCTACATTTTGTGGGGAGGGGAAGGGAGGATGGAGGTAACGGGGGAAGAGAGAAACTTCACATCTCCCAGAGAAACAGTTTGTTACCTGTCGTTGGCATCCCTCTACAATAATTAGTTTCTGTTGTGGAGAAGTTCGAGCAAAGACGATTTCAGTGTGATGTATCAAGATTTCATCCAGTTGTTCTGAGCTCATATCTTTGAGATCTGTCCCATGAACGACGCAAGCCTTGGCATCCCTGAATCAAAGTTTTGGTTAGTAACTATCGGAACCATAATTTCACAACTGAGTTCAACACAAATGCAACATTTCAATAGAAAGCCATTAACCATTGCTAACGCACTTCTACCTTCTCCAAATTAGTCTTTGAAAAGGTATCCATTCCCTCTCAGCCTCCCTAACCCCGTCTCTGAAAGTAGTTCACTCCTTACCTGGGATTGACTTGGTTAACAGGAATGTTCAGACGAACAGCAATGTCTTCCACAGTCTCATTTCCTTCTGAAATGATGCCCACTCCCTTGGCAATGGCTTTAGCTGTGATTGGATGGTCACCGGTTACCATAATTACCTAGAAAATAAAACTCTGATCAGAAAATATGAAACACAAGTACAGCTGTCCCTATGGAGGTACAACCACCCACCCACCGCCAAACAGCCTCCTAGCGGTGACATCTGGAAAGCACGGTGCAGGACTTCTTCCCAAAGAGCACCTCAATACATGGATTGAATACAGTCAGATCACAAACACGTGGGTCTAAATTTCTGCAATACTGCAATGTAAATGTCTCCAGTGCTGTGCAACCGAGTAATATTTCATATCAAGAAGAGGTGGAGAAGAGATGCACAGTTCATAACCTTTCTAGGTACTGTTTTTACCTTGATGCCAGCGCTCCTGCACTTGCCGACAGCGTCAGGTACGGCAGCGCGGGGAGGGTCAATCATGGCCATGAGCCCAACGAAGCACAGGTTTTCAGTGGGGAAATTGACCTCTTCTGCATCAAACTGAAAACTCTCCGGGAATTTATCATCGGGCAGTTGAAAATGGCAGAATCCTGGATGAAGAAGAGGGAGGTCATCAGGTCACCATTATATTTCTGAATTTTTATTTTAATAAAAACAAATTCAGAGAAGCTCGATAGGATACACAGCCAGCATTTGTTTTTCACCTCTAGCTTTGAGTTAGTTTACAATTAGGACTGACCTGAGGAATCAAAATCCTTTTCTCTTCTAGGTTCCGGTTTTTCCAGTGAACCTTCCCACCCACATTAGAGATAGCTAGCAGAAGTGACCCATGTTATCTATGAGGGTACAGGTGTCATTTGGCTCTTGGAACAATCAAGACTCTGTGTTGACTTGATGTGGAGCAATTGAACCCTTACCCTCCCACTGACTCAAGGACCATTTCCAATCCTACCTGCAGATAAGATGAACACTGGGATTTAACAGTTGAGCTACAATCATCATTATGCTCAACTGCGTACCAAGAATGCAATTTATCAGTGCAGGTGCAGTTTTGACCAATTGAGAAGAATTGAGGTGCGCAGCCAATAAAAATCACAACTTCTTTTTTTCCTACAAACTCCATGCCAGCCAACCCCATGTGCTCAGTGTGGAGACTGAATCTCAAAATGATAGGTGTTCCAGTCAGCACCAAGCTAAATTTGGACAAATGTAATTTCAAAACCGTCAAGATGTGCAATGTGCGGAATGGTAATTAACGAAAACAGGGACACTCTTCTCAACACATGCTGTTCATTAGCACATCACAAGTTACCACTTTGGAATAGTCTCGCTGTGAAATTGCTACAATGTATGCACACTGAAAAACATTTATTTTTCCAGTCTTGTGTCTAGATTTGACAATGTACCCGAGATGTGCGACATTCATCCTCGACCCACACCATCTAAAATATCTTGCATTAATGCATTCAGCACCTTCATGTAAAATAAATATCTTGAAGCTCTTCACGGCATGGGTTTAAATTAGAAATTAAGTGAATATTATGCGGGCAAATGTGGCAGATAATTTGCACCCTGCATTACATACGACAGGTTGAAGAGCCAAACAAAATGAATGGGAGGGGCGGGGGGAGAAGCGGAGTGGGAGTGACTTCAGACAAGGAGTGAACACAATCCAGTACAACTCTAAACTTCTCTGAAATACTGTACTAGAAAGAGTGGGAAGGATGTCACAATTTACACTTGAATCACAAGGACCTAAATTATCGACTTGATCAAAATGGGAATAATAACCTGGAAACAAATGATAAAATTATGGACTTGCACGTAACAAAGAATGTTACTTAGCAATGTCTTTAGGGCAACACCAGGCCCAAATGTCCCATTGCTCACCTAGCACTCGCTCTCCCAGGCCACCCAGTTCCATGTACGCATTCTGGAATGCTTCCTTCATCTCCTCGTCCAACTTCTGCTCTTTCCCATTCATCAGGATGGTGGAACAACGGTCCAGGATGCGTTCAGGGGCCCCCTTCATCACAAGAAGGTGGCAACCTTCGCTGGAATTTTCATTCTTGTGGATAGACAGCTGTGCGTGGTGGTGGTGGTGGGGGAATGAAAATGGATGGAGGAGAGAAGCAGAGGGAAAAGAGGAAAGAGAACAGAAATAAAAGTTCAAAACTTTACAGAATCAAAACATCTGAATTTTTAAGCCCTTCAGCATCACATCCCCTCACAATTAACCACTGATCCACAGACCAACTAAGATAATTCTCCACTAAGTATTCATTTCTCTAACCTCTTCCCTTCAAAAAGCAAAGCCTAATTGCTGTATCCATTTCATACCTGATACTTGTTGGTTGAGTTGAATGGAATTTCTGCTATCTTAACGTTGCGTTCCCTCATGCTCCTAACCGAACCACAGGATAGTTCGATACACTTCAGGAGTGCAGACTCAGAGGCATCTCCAGCAACTTCACGCTGCAATATAAAAACAAATAGCATTATTTCTGAAGAGCAATCCAGCCTTGCATACCAAATAGCAGTATTTAAACACAACACAGCAATGAGTCCAATCTTTCTCAGTCAAACTTCACGATAACAGATTTTATATGTATTCGTATGCTCAGACTTCACGATAACAGATTTTATACGTATTCGTGTTCAAAATTTTCCCTCACCTGAATTTTTTTGTAGCAGTCATTTTATGCACAGTAATTAATGCATTATCGTGCATACATTATTCAGAAAACCCTCCCTGTACACAAAAAATTATTTTTACAATTCAAAAACTTGCAAGTCAAAGTTCTTTGTTTTCTTGTGTATTTCACAGTTATTGGATGATCACATTTAACACAGACCAATTCAAAGATTTCATTTTGGTCCAGTTGGTCCAATCAAGTGAAACATGCCAGTTAATTGGTCCATGTTACGCATGATCATTGAGAATGGATGCATTTTTTTTGGATACCCATGTGTACATGGCAGCAGTTTTAAAAATCCTAACACAATCTGAGTAAGGTCCCACAATCAGCCATGTGGTGAATGACTAATTATTTATTAGGACAGGAGAAAATCCATTCTCAATTTGAATTCAGTCATTGGATATTAGCTTCCATACAGGACACTATTGAAACCACAACACCCAGCAAACTGACTGGAGTAATGAAACCAAAGACAAGACTAAGATGATTAATTTTGGAAGTTTTTAAACCAGGATTACTTTCAGGCCATCAAACTGCATTAAAAGGTATTAAAATATTTTAGTGCCACTCGGGCCTGTTGCATGCCACCTGCCCTCTGATCCCCCATTGGTGGCCAAGTTTTCAACCATTCTCTCTCCTGTGGTCCTTAAAACTCTTTTTTAAAAAAACAACTCATGTTGAGCACCTTTCCCCCACCTCCTTTCCAGTGTTCCATTCAATTCTGCAAAGTACTCAAGAGAAGTTCTTCTACATGAAAGTTATTTCTAAGCACTCGTGGTTGTCAGTTTGATAGCGGTGGCCAATTTGAACACCGACATTGTAGAATTTCTCACTGCAGTAGGATCATTGTCCTTCTTAGATATTTAACCAAGGCAGGGCCTCAGCATAGAGATTGGTTCCAGTGTTCAAGTGAACATGAACAATGAGGTGTACATTAACATTAGAAGAAAGTACAGGTGAAGCAGAGATGAAACCATGCAAATTTACAGCACGGATGCCTAACTCACCTTCAGGATGGGCACCGAATCCTGTCCAGCCTGGAAAACTGCTCGATTACACAGACCAGCAACACGGGCCAGAGCAGTCCAAGTAACAGAAGTCTTATCAAAAGTAGCACCTGGAAAAGTCAGTGATACACTTCAGCTGTATACAATCTCACTGTGCTCAAAGCTTTACCATTCTAGTGATGTTTGTTCTGTTTTTTTTAATTATCTTCAACTACATTCATGTTGGAATAGCTGACCAGGCAACTACCTTGATCCTTTCTTTCTCTCTTGCTATTTGTATCCAGAAGGAAACCAATAATGCAAACTTTTCAGTGCAAATATTCATTTACCAAGTTATTTAATAAAATGGGCAATGGAGGTATCTTGCTTGCTAACGATGACTGGCCTGCTTCACGTCCCCAGCCTTACCTGCCCTGTGGTCAGGATTTCAATTTTTCTTCCCCTAGTTTCAGGAACTTCATCCCACCATCCTTTTCCCTCGTCTCCTTCAATGACTATCTCAAGGCCTCCCTCTTTGATCATGCCTTCTGTCATTCTCCCACCCCCAGACCTCAAGCACCCAGCACCTTGGGATGTCCTCCCAATCTAAAAGGCATGGATATAATATATAATACAAGATGGTCTCTTGCCATCTGATGGCCAGATGGATATTTAATTATCAAACCCATAGAGAAATGAGACAAGAACATGTTTTGATGACTTCCGAGTTGTATCACTGTGGCTCTACCTGACTGATTCTCAGTTGTGTCGGCTTCGTGGATCTGGTTATCAAACCACATGTGAGCGACAGTCATCCGATTCTGGGTCAGGGTTCCAGTCTTGTCAGAACAAATGGTAGAGGTAGATCCTAGGGTCTCCACAGCTTCCAAATTCTTCACCAAGCAGTTCTTCTTAGCCATACGTTTAGCAGTCAGGGTCAGACATACCTGGAAGAGGGACACAATTAAGTCACTTGGCTGATTACTCCAAACTTCCAATTCCGACAAAACAGCGATTAAACCTGTAGGGTCATTCAACTTAATACAAGTTTAGAATGAAATTGGACTTTCCTGGTCTGCGTGGGCTAAGATTATATTGAGCAGGGTTCTAAGCTGTTGACGTAGCCCAGAGCAGCAACTTGTGGTTTCAATACATGGCAATACTTGGTGTCATAATACTTCAAGCTCAATCTCTATGCAGCAATGCTTGTAACAGGAATGCAGAAGCAGTTACAAAAGCAATCATAAGTAAAACCATCTCAAACATACTGTGACTGTCGCAAGCAGCCCTTCGGGGACATTGGCAACAATGATTCCAATCAAGAAGATGACAGCTTCGAGCCAGGTGTATCCTAGGATGATGGAGAGGATGAAGAAGGACACACCAAGGAAGACTGCCACTCCAGTAATGATATGGATGAAATGTTCAATCTCAATGGCAATTGGAGTCCTTCCACCTTCCAGCCCAGATGCCAGTGTGGCAATGCGGCCCATGACAGTGCGGTCTCCTGTATTAATGACAATACCTCGAGCGGTACCTAAAAAACAGAGATTTGGCATCATGAGTTTTAAACCAAAATAAATTGCAATTTTCTTCAAAATAACTTAAATGCTGTCTTACCTTCAACACAGTTGGTGGAGAAGAAAGCAATGTTTCTGGTTTCCAGGGGATTATCATTTGTAAATTCTGGTGACCTGGTCTGAGGCTCCGATTCACCTGTCAACGAGGAGTTGTCCACCTAAAGAATCAAAGAGTGAAATGAACAAGGTATAGAAGAAGCTGATGTCATTGGAAATTCATCTCAATCTCATCACTTCCCAAGGATCGGAGCAAACCAGATTGTGGATTCAAAGACCAAATTCAGAACTTCTCTAAAATTAGATTCATAGTCTTGGATTTCGACAGGTACATAATCCCATGTAATGATACGAGTCCACAGTGTAACAATATCAAGTAGGAAGTTGTCGTGACTTCCAGCTTGTTAACATCAAATTGTGAAATGTACAAATAGTGAATGTCAAAATAATTGTGCTTTTTTTTTAGAAAAACTCATCAGCAAAACACTGGTCGTTTTTTGTAAAATCACAGCAGTGATTCTGTGCAAATCAAACATTTGTGGGGGGGGGGGGGAGCTATTCTTCCAGCTCTTGTACACACCTTGCAACTACTAGCAGAGATGATTCGCAGATCTGCAGGGATACGGTCACCCCCTTTCACCTCTACCAAGTCTCCAGCCACCACAGTTTCAGCATTGATGCTGCTCTTCTCACCTTCTCGGATGACCAGAGCTTGCTAGATAGACCGAGCAATAAGACAGAAAATGAAGTGTCAAGTGACAAGAATTAAAATACAGCCTCTGCAAAAATAAATAATCCGTATTGGTTGTGTCGCATTGCGTACCTGAGGCACCAAGTTCTTGAAGGAATCCATGATTCTGGAGCTCTTAGCTTCTTGGTAGTAGGAGAAACAACCAGTTACTATCACTACAGTAGACAATACAACACCCAGGTACAACTGCAGAAAACCAAACAGACATATATAAGAATGGGAATGTTTTTTTGGTAAAATGATTTCAGCTGTAGTGTCGAGGGATGGTTCCACTCACGTTGTCATTTGCTGGCTCGTCCTCAGTTGCGGCCTGGATGCCATACGCCAAAAAGCAGAGAATTGCACCAATCCACAGCAGGACTGAGAAGCCACCAAACAGCTGCCTACAGAACTTGATCCACTCTGGGGTGGTGGGTGGAGGAGTCAGTGAATTGGGGCCATCACGTGCCAAAATCTCCTTGGCACGAATGTTGCTGAGACCCTGAAACAAAAATGAAAAGAACACCACTTGAGGCAGCTCTGCTTCCCCCCTCACCACCACTACCACACCCAGATCTGTCAGGACTGAGATACAACTAATAAGATCATGTCTAGCTATCTAAAATTTATTGTCTGGGGAAAACAGATGTTTTCAAGACACCAACAACACAAAGGACTGTCCACCGAGTCATATATTGCATTGGTGTTCACATCCCAAATCATTGGAAAATTATGATGTACTGCCGACAGTAAGTCTGAGGAATTATTTCGCTGCTTAGTCCTCTTCAGTTTAGCAAAGCTACAATTATCTTGTCCTGGAGAAGAGGCAGGAAACTGACTGCATCTGTGTATCCCATGTCAATGCTGAAGAGTTTTAAGGTTTTAGCTGGTTAGGCTCCAGCAGTACCCCAACGCATACTCTGGGGTCCCCAAGCCTTGGTTCTTGCCAACCTGTGCCTAATACTTCCCAGAATTAGGTAAGCAGAATGTATACCTCCAACAATCTATCCCTGGGATTTCCATGTGTAGGTGGGATGAATGGAAATACCAGCTTGGTTTGGATACTCTTAAGCATGATGATGGGTTTCCACATGTGTCAGACACTGGGCTAACCAGAAAAAAGCTGAAGAGATTTTTAACATAAGGTCTTACGCAAAATCTTTATTCTGTTCCATTTAAAACAAACATTGTTAACAAGTGTCCCACGTGCATCAAATCCAGTAACAAAGCTGGAATACTGTGTTGCACCTTACCATACCTGAAGTCACCTGTACAAACTATGGGCAAAATAAAATTGATGAAATGGAACACTTAGAAAAGTAGAGACTCAAAAGTTATCTTTCAAAAAAAGTTCAATTCACATCTGGTGTAAGATGTCGATGAGACGTGGCAAAGTGCTTCACAGGATATACTGTAAAGTGGATTGACTGTACTTTGTTGGTAAATGTGGCAGCTAATTTGCCCATACAATGTCCCACAAACAGCCATGGAGTGAATGACCATTTTATTTGGGGGACCTTTATTGGCCAGGATGTCGGGAGATTTGCTTTTCTTATTGAATAGTCTCATGGGATCTTTAACATCCACCTGAACAGGCAGACAGGACCTCGGTTCTGTCCAAAGGACAGCATTCTTGACAATGCAACATACCCCTCCCAGAACTACATTGGAGTGTCAGTTTACACTCTGTACTTCCAAGTCCTGATGTAGGACGTGAACCCACAACCTCCTGATTCAGAGGCGAGAAAGCTACCACTGCACCAGGCTGACAAGATTAACAGGACACAATAAAGGGGTACCGTGTGGAAATGGATTTGAAAAGGTTGGCCTCAGGAATTTCATGTTTTGCAACGAACAATTGCAAGTCAGAAGCGAGCAATGGGTTTTGAAATATCAAATCACTGAACCAGGAAGTCTTATGATTCTTCATGTGGAAAAGATACACTGACCTTGAGCTCACAAACCCTCCTATTATCATAAAACAATACTACAGGGGCAAGTGTTGGGTAAGTGGAGGTTTATGGTCAGCCTGGCACTTGCTGACAGGACTGAATGACCTGCTTCTGTGCTGTAAATTTCTATGGTGCTCTGTGGAACCCATCAACATGCTTAAGAATATCCAAACCAGACAGAGTTCCACATATGTGTGAAACAGAACGACCACCCTGGGATACACTCTATTTACCTAATTCCGAAACGGTTTAGGTTGGCAAGGTCCAAGTGCATTGGGGGCACTGCTGAAGTCTAACCGGCTAAAACCTCATTATCTACCATTGAGAGTACTGTCTACCAATTAGGGTCAACTGGACAGATGTCTACCAATCAGCTGGACAAGAGGGTGTTATTCTCCGTGGTTGGTAAGATTGCTTTCACATTCAGCTGCTTTTCTCAATATGCCTAAACTCAAATTGAAGTAGGATGGTAACTGCCATATAGCTGAACTCAGTGGATTGGAAGCCACTCTGGCCAAAAGCCAGGTGTGAGGCACATCAGCAATTCTGTCTTCATCTGTTGTGAACACACAGAGGTTGTTGAACAGTGAGCAGGGGCCTTCCATAAGCAAAGGCTCTTTGGCCAATTGCAACACCTCCATCGCTTTCTGGCTGAGATAGATCAGCCAGTTCAATACAGAACAGGAATCCAACTTGGGGGCTTCCGACATGGCTTGTCTTACGCACCAGATAAAGTACAAAGACATCAGATAAACCTTGAGGGTATGTCTAGTTGACTGATCAGGGCTATAAATTTAGCTTTAAGTGAGTGCAGCAATCCTGTAACCTATCAGGCCATCACTTGATATGGGGGGAGTGAAGAGGGGAGAAGCGAGCCTCACAAATAAAACTGCAGCTGCTTAACTATAGGCAAAATTGCATTCCTGGACAGCACAGTGTTCAACAATATACGACAGGCTCATCCTAATGTTCACTCCACTGATTTCAGCCAAAGAAAATTGGCAAGCAAAAATAGGATGAAATGTTATATGCCTTTTTTTATTAAGGTGTACAAACTAAAACGTAGGATTTGTGGAGCATTTACTGGCAACTAGATAAGAGTGATTTCTAGGAAAGTGAAATAGGATCAGAGGAAGGCCACATACCTGATTCAAATCTGTATCATATTTACGTTGAAGCTCCTCCAGAGAGAGTTTGTGATCATCCTGGGACAGAGAAAGCAAGAATTAATCACATTTACAATGACTTCCCAAGCAAATCAGGAAGACAAATAACAATAGCATAGGAATCAGCACATTACTAAAATAAATCCCTGAAAGGAACATGTCCCGTACCAATGACACTTCCTTCTTAAGTTCATCCATGTCCTTCTCTTTGCTCTTCTTGTCTTTCTTTCCTTTCTTGTGCTTAGCAGCATTTTCAGATGTTGCCGCCGGTTCATACTTGTCACGTGCATCCTGGAGGGAAGAGAAATACATTTTAACGTTCATATGACCATCACCATTGCTCTTGCCAGGTTGTACTGTTTCCCTGTCTCCCAGTGGATTGACTTCAAGATCCTTGTTCTCACTTACAAATTGGCACACTCCTCCTTACTTTTGACACCTTTTCCAGCCTCGGTGTTTGGTCCCTCTGCATGGAAAAATCTTAACAGGTGAGGGCGTCTCACCACCTTTGCCCCACTGTTGAGACTTCAGGTACCATGTACCTACCCATGTACCTGCCTTCTGGGATTCCTTCTCTCTATTCTGCTAGTTGCTCCCTTTTTATTCACACCTATTTTACTGTGCCTGCAGCAACCTCCCACTTCCTCCTCCGCTGCCCATCTCTTACTTGGTGTCCAGCACAGTCTGAAACATTCCCCTTCATGAATGGCCTTATATAAATGCAAGTTATTATGTAGAACCAAATTCATCTGTGAAAAACTAACTAGGCACAGCAGAAAATGTTCCTGCCATTCCCCCCAGATAACTCCAGATAGCAATGACATTGGCTTGGAGTCTCAGGTACCAACAGTGGAATAGAGGGAATGAACAATGAGTGTTAGACCAGTGTATCGGCCAGGACAACAGTCCAGTTGAAAACTGCAGAGTTAGGAAGAAGCAGGATCCTGAAGGGATTTGAAAGTCAGGACAAGAATCCGCTGGGAGTCACACCAGGCAGAGTCACGACCAGCAGAGTCATCAATATTCCCAATGCTAATAACACTGGTATACAAAGGCCTCATATTCTTCATCTCCTCACGCTTGTTGTTTTTTTCCTTCTCACTCCCATGGTACACACTCCCAATTGGCAACCAGCAGTTCCTCTGGGTTTGATTACCACTTGACAACAGACTCATTCACTAGACTGACTTCAGTAAACAAAAGCTACTCACAATGTGAACCTGGCTTATACTTTGCCCTGTTTTTGTAATTGCGACTGCATTCAGCTCCTCTTCAAAAGCCGCACTCTCTTTCATTCTGTGCACATGGCCCCAGTCCCAGGCTTAAATTATCCCAGTGATGCTTTTGAGACAGGGAGAGAAGCAGAAGGTGCAACAGAATACTAGCATTGGCCAGATTAGCTCACTTGCACCAGCAGTAACCAGTCTAATCCAGGAGCCACCCCCAAAGACTGGAATTTCTATAGCTTTTACAAACGGTCTACAAATCAAGCCCTCGGCAGATGTCTAAAGCAAGCAATGCAACAGTGGAATCTCAAATCATCACAACCACCATTTTTACATTTGTACAGCATCTTTTCACGTCAGGAGAATATCTCAAAGGACTTCGGGCCTAGTCACAAACATAGGAGCAAACGTTCATTCCACAACATCCCCTAAATACGATTTTAAAAAAGGATTTGATCCAACTCTGCAGTATTTATTCCAATATGAGAGAGAAAAGGGAAGGAATTGGGGGGGGGGGGGGGGGGGGCAGGTGAGGAGGGACATGCAGAGAGAGGAGAATAAAAAGTAGAACCTGCTGAAACGCGCTCATCTGCAAGACAGATAGGGTTCGATTGCGATACCACTGAACTGTCAAATAGCCCACATGTCTATCGACATGTTAAATTGGTGAGTGCCTGCTCACCAGTGGACAGGGTTGTACCCTGGCAAATGTGTAGAACACAAATACAGCAGTAAATAAAGCAATTTTCACATAAGTCACCTTGGCTGCTTGCTATTTTTTTCCCTCCCCAATGGCTGAATCTTGCTGAATGGAAAAAAAAATTCTTTTTGTTTTAAAAAAAACCCTGTCATCTCCCCAATTGTATCACATTTCAGCAACGTTTCTGCTCGAATCTGTTATTCAGGTTAGAAAAAACTCAAGCAGATTAATGTATTACGGCTCCAGATCTCACATAACACAGTGTGAAATCCATCTCCAGCCAGACTGGTTACGATTTCCAATTCTTTCTATTCCAAGTTAAGTGATTTCCAGATTCTTAGTCTAAACAACAAGATTCTTCCCAGACTTGCTAGATAAATAACTGCAAAGTCTCCACATCATGGAAACACTAACCATTTTCGCAAAAGAACAAATAGAAGTATAAGTGAACCAGCTAAAGACTAGGCTAATTGGGGTTACTGCTGGATCAAGGGCTTTAGTAATTTACCCAGCACTGTTGGACGTACAACTTTGGCAGATCAAAACTCAATATACTCTAAAAGGTCCCACTTTTGGAGATTATTTTCTGGAATAAAAACAAGTGGAAACTTTCACTGGTTTATCATGCACATTTGATAAAGGTCTCCATCTGGCCTTCTCAGAACACTCAATTCCCAGAAAACAATAGTCGGATGGCACAAAGATCAAGCAAGCCAGCTTTAGATCTTTGATACTGACTGTCCTGATCCTTTGTTTTCCGAGACAGACCAAATGCCCGGAGTTCCAATTCAACTGGGAATAATCCCTTGAAAAATAATTTGGTCGCTTACTCCACAACTGTTTTTGGGACACTGCTGTGTGCATTTGGCTGCTGCCCAGTGCTTGCTTGGAGATGTCTCGAAGATGTGATAAGGAGCTATATCAAATGCAAGGATTATTATTAATATCATCTTTTCAAATGGAATGGAGTCACTGGTTTTTGCTAAACAAAATGTGAATGTCCTATAAATGTGAGGTCACGACACAGACATACACTGTACCAGAACTATAAAGTCACTCACACTGAGAACTGAAATTGGCAAACGTACAGTGCATTGTCTCAGCAGTGTCGTTAAGCAATGCCTCTTGATTATGTCAGGACAAGTGAGAACACAACGTCCCCCAGAACATGCCAATTCCAATAAAATAGGAATTTTTACACCTGTGGAAATCTTGCGATTATGCAAAATTGCATGATCATTCAAACGTGCCAAGTTACCAAATTCAAGGCAGCTCAGCTCGTCAGTCTAGGTGTGCTCAGTTTGCCAAAAACTTGTGTGAAAAATTTGTGCTGCAATCCCACTTGCCAGTGAGATACATTCAACAATTTTAGAAATTCCCTCAAAAATTGACCCCTCCTGATAAAATCGGTGCAAACAAACCAACTTGCCATTAAGCTTGGGGTACACATATCTAATCAAGCTCCTCAAGCTCCTGCAATGCAGCAGCCATAATAACACAACGTAATTACATAACGCTGGGTTTTCACGCTACCTCTGTGAACAATTTAGACCATTCTTTAATTGCTTACCTACCTTGAATTTACTGCCTCATGCTCCCCAGGGGTGGATGGGAAGAGAGTGGAAGGCAAGAGAAAAAAGTAGAATTCCAGGCAATAATAACCCTCCAGCAACTCGCTCACGTGATCGTTCATCACACAAGTGTGCTAGTGTGCTCGACAGTCTTTGACTGTTTTGACAGTGCTGTTTGACTGGTGTGTGAGGGAAAGAGGCAACAGAGGAAGAACATGAAAGTCAAACCCAATCTGGTTTTCAGACATTCATGGATGGACTTTTCAGCAGGGTCACTGGATAGAAAGCAGAAACACTGGCTGTTACTGACCTTTCCCTACCAAGAGGTCTGAGAACAATTCTAGTGCCATACTATCAACCCTACCTGAAGCCAGCTAACATAACACAGTCTGTTGTGTTTGAATCAGGGACTTTTCCTATTGACGGTTCCTTTACCCAAGCGAGTTACCAGACTACTTACATCCTTCATTACTGAGCCAACTAACATAGGAGGTTGCCAGCTTGCGATCAGTCTACAAATTCCACACATGACGCCACTGCTCTGAGGGTTCCCTCACTTGAAGTGCACACACGCAGCAGTTCAGATTTAATCTTAAATATTTTTGTCAAACAAAGTGTCCAGATATTTTACAAGAAGCAACCCCTCTCTCGCAGTTCATGGTACTCGCCTGTTTAAGCCTCTCCTCCCCATCAAAAAACAGACTACAAAGTTCACATATTTATTATTTTTATACATGTATAGAAATGTGATACTATTTTTACCCTCGTGACTGTGAACAAACTTATGGCTGGTCCATTACTGATGTTACGCATATCATATTGCCCACAATCTGTTCACGTCAGCCCTTCCTGATCAGTGGTATTGCGCTGTTCACACCCACTCACCCGCTGCCTTTGAACAGTCTGTGCTGTACAGACTTGCTTTATTTCCTTGAAAATCCCCACCCGCTCAAACTGGCTGACAAATCAAGTGTCTTCTACCACTGTCTTCCTCCTTGCCCCCCCTTCCACCACCATCACCGCTGCTGCCACAGATTCCGCAGGATCAGCTTAAAGGTCACTTGCACAACAGTTGTTACTTGGTTCTGTGTGCAATTCAATCAACGTGCTTCACTGTCTCAAGATCAGAACTTTAGTTTGTTGCTTGACCTTGGCTCAGTTTTCACAGTCTAAAAGCAATTGAGCAGCCCGAACAAGAGTATGATTCCAATTTTTTTAAAAAAAGTCTTTGAAATCTGCAACATCAAACATGTGACAAAGTCTGTGCCAAGTGCAACACATTCAGTCTCTTCCTCCTCCGCCTCAGCTCAGTCTGCCAGTCAGCCATGTGAAGTGAATCAAAGAATTATACAGCACAGAAGGAGGCCATTCGGCCCATCGGGTCTGTGCCGGCTCTTTGAAAAGAGCTATCCAAATCAATCCCACTCCCTTTGCTCTCTCCCCATAGCCCTGCAAACTTGTCCTCCCAAAGTACTTTTGAGACATTCTCCCTACATGAAAGGTGCTATATAAATGTAAAAATGAACAAAGGGCAAATTACAAAACAGTTTCAGTTTGGAGCTGTGAACATTGATCCACTACAATTTATGCACCAATTACAGTATTGGACATGAACTGTGCTTGGCAGAGAGATTGTGATCTCACATAAAACAAGTGTTCATTATCTAGATACAGAACTATTCCTCTCTCTCTCACTCTCTCGTTAAAATTAACACACTCCTAATCACAGTGCAGAGCACTCCTGGTTATTTTTATTTTGATGTATGTAAATACCTTCCAAATGGTTTGTCTTTA